CATCTGGACACTCCCTGTCTATGCCATCCCGTCGATGCCATTTGTCCTATTTTTTATTCAAATCTAGGAATCAGCTCTAGAATATAACACACATATAATTATATCTGTAGACTTTATTCAGTGCTGTTCAACCGGCGCGCCACGGGCCATATGTAGCCCCGGATGCCTAGCAAGGGGCCCGTAAATTATTGCTAATTGTAATATATCAATGATCTTTCTATGCTTTGGCTCAGGTCTCTGCCCGTGACGATCCCCATTTTGAAAATGTTGGGCCCTTGAGTGTAAACTGAGTTAATGAAATGTTTTGATGAGAATTCTCATTGTTACAGTTTTTATTTCTTTGCAATCAAAGAACACATTGCCTCGTTTATTTCTTAGCGAAAACTGGCTCGTGTTCGTTCGACGCGGGAGACACACTGTCTCCCATACGAAACTGTGCAGCTGTCTTTTATGTGAACACTGTCGTTTCTTGAATGTGTTGTGAGTATTTTAGGCGCTGCAGGTGCCTGTGTAAGAAGAAGAAGAAGAGAAGAAGAAGAAGAAGAAGAACAACAACAACAACAACAAGGAAAAGAAATGGAAAGGAAGAAGAAGAAGAAGAAGAAGAAGAAGAAGAAGAAGAAGAAGAAGAAGAAGAAGAAGAAGAAGAAGAAGAAGAAGAAGAAGAAGAAGAAGAAGAAGAAGAAGAAGATTGTAGTATGTCTGAAAAAAAACTCAGACTGGCCAGATCTAACGCCTTGTGCACTTTCCTACCCAATCTGCCACTGACTGTATGTCATGTGTCCAGCTTGGTGCTGCTCCTCTTTCCTGGTACCAGGCTTTCTGCTATTTTTTTTTTAAAAACCAATGCGGCGCCTGTGATGGCCAAAATATGTCCAGAAAAAGATGCTGTTAATTAGCCAGTCTTCCCTGATGTTCACATCTTTTAGAAAGTCAGCATATCTATTAGAAAGGTGGTTTTCAAATTCATTTACGATCAGAATCCAGTAGCCGTATTTTTCACTGACTTCCACGGTTGTAAGTACTGACGTCAGTGTCATTCACAAACACTTTGCTTTCTCAATGAACTGAGTTGTGTATCCGGACTTTGGCCTCGTCCGGGTTTTTCCTTAAGTGATTTCTTGTGAGATGCAAGCAAGAACCTTTTTTGACATAGATACAAAAGCCACACATACAGGTTGCTTATGTCGAAGTTAGTCAATCCAGTGTCCTTCCCTCGGCCACTTGAACGCATTTATACTGTCTTATAAATTACCTTGTCTGCGTGGCTTTGATGTAGTGTTGGTAGTTTGTTTATCTTTAATGTTTATCTTTAACGGCTAACATAAATTAGCATCCAAAGACTGTTTTCAAGACACGAAAAGGTGATATTTGTTACTGTGTAAAATTGTATGTTGACACCGGATGGTCGCGGTTTTTCTTTAACATTCACAAGCAGAGAAATAATATGTATGACTGTCTGGTTTAAATAATAGTGAACGTGTTTCCACAATCTTGGACGTACCAGAGTTTGATTTCCACTGGTTTAGAACTGTGATTTTCAAACTAATGGAGCGTCCCATAGTATTTGGGGGAAGGGGGTGTTCAAGGAAGATTTTCAGGATTTGGGAAAAAAGGGGGTTAGGGTCAAGTAATTTCTGAAACGTACCAAAACATTGGGTGTGGTACCAAAAGTACAGTTTTGCCCGGCAAGGCTGAAATAATATAAAATGCATACGAAAGTACCCATTTCGACAGCCATGGCCCGCGCTGCAGCCGCAAATACAAAGTTCACCTCTTAACAAGCGGCTGACATCTCACTAAAGTCATCAAGTTTATGCAAAGAAGCTAGCACAGTTGACTTTATACAATTTTCTCACCGACATCAAATGTATGCTTGAGGGGAAAAAAAAAAAGGTTTTCCCATTCATGGTGAAGTCAACAATCTATTTTCATCACGGTATCACAATAAAGTTCGCCATACAAATTGCATCATCAATGGGGTTCTTGTGAATAACTTCAACGGACCAGTGAATTCACTGCGGTGGATTTTCTGACGTGTAACCGTCAGATTTAATACAAGTCTGCGTCGGATCACCTTGTCTGCGATAAAGATAAGGCTTGCGGCTGACAGTCGCCATGTTGAGCCATGTTTACGAACTAAACGCCTAAAATTGTATCACCTTCCTGTTAATAGTTTCTCCTCAAAAGTGACGTGTGTTTACTCTGTCTGATAATGACTGCTACGGCGGTGTTTGGGGACAGAAGTTGTGCGGATTTTGTCCGCCACCGACTCGCGGGGCTTAACCAAGATCAAATTTACCTGCGTCAGAATGTAGGGTTCATTCGAGGGTGCGGAATTCTTATCTTCGTATGTGAGAGGTCAAAAATAGAGTACCCACCCCCTTTAGTTATTCAACCAAGCAGCATAAACAACACTGGTCATGCCCGAGGTAAAAGATATAGTATTAGTAGTCATGGCTTCCCGCGTGGCTTCCGGGACCCAGTTGTGACGGAGAAACAAAATAATGAGAAGAATTCCACAGTGGGATCATACACAACAGCAGTCCACCAATTATCAGTAGAAAGGTCGGTTATTTATACGATGGTCTCCCCATTTACACATCACCGGTTGTAAGTCAACTCCATTGATAAGTTGGTTGGACTAGTCTACCGTGGTGGAGGTTATGGGTGTCGCGGTCAGTTTTTGTCTGGCGTTTATTTTTTTATTTCCCAGAAAGAGACGGCCTGTGACATCGGTTTTGTCACTCTCTAGGGAATTGTGTGTTAGACCCAATATCTAAATGTTTTAGAAGTGTTAAAAGCGCTGGCATGGTGAAATATACAACACGCCATATGAGCACGAGTGCAGAATATCCCTGTGACGTTGTGTGAAAGTCGGGTCGCTCGAGGCCGACCTATCAGAAGTAAGGTGGTCAGCAGGTCGTCCAATCAAAAGCGAGCTAGTGTGTAGCGGTGTGTAAATGGGGAGACGAGCGTAAAATTTACCGAAAGGTCCCTCGTCGACGCTTGCTTTGACCCTTATCCCCCCTATACAATCTGGGAGGGTGAGCCCACTTGGGTCATGACGCCAGGTCTCGGACATCTCCGGCTGCTCCTAGTAGACAAGGGAAATCGTACAATCATGTAGTAAGAGTCTACTAATTAGGGATGGTTCCTTCGAAGTTTTACATCAGCCTAATAGGCGAGGAATCAGCAGTCTGCATATAAGTAAGCCAAATCTGTAAAACGGATATGCAGTGGTACACGACAGTAAGCAGTACAGGCGCTAAAGCATCACTTTTAGCGATGTTGTAATAGTCACTTTGTGGTGAGTAGCAGCACTTTTGTTCTAAAAAAAAAGCGCTGGTGGTAGCATTAGAAGAAGAAGAAGTAGTAAAAATACTAGTAGTAGTTGTAACATCTGCAGTAGCAGCAGCAGCAGCAGCAGCAGCAGTAGTAGTAGTAGTAGTAGTAGTAGTAGTAGTAGTAGTAGTAGCAGCAGCAGTAGTAGTAGAAATTGTAGTAGCAGTGTACTTGTTGAGACACAACAGATGGTCACACATTCATCATGACACAAATGAAATCGGATGTGTTGAACCAATAGGTTCAGTTATAGCAGCCTTGTTGCAAACTGCAATACAGAATGCCGCAATACTACATGACAACCGTCCCTTTAAGGGAAAAATACACAGAAGAAAAGGAAAAAGAAAGAGGAAAAAGAAGTTAAGAAGGAGGAGGGGAGGAAGAAGACGAAGAAGAGGAAAAAGAGGAGGAGAAGAAGAAAAAGAAGAAAAAGGAGAAAAAGATCTTATTTTATTGCAGCATATATCAAATATATGGTTGGTTTTCGAAACCTTGTAACTTTCGAGCCTTAGTAGATGGTATAGCCACATGGACTGGACCGGAAAACAACACAGACATGATGCAAACTGATAATAGTGCAGAATTGCAAGCTAGGATCTCCCACGGTAATAGACATGTCACACGATGATGATGAACACCTGGAGGTGTTGTTTACTTGATGTTCAAGATATCCCAAAGCAGAGTTACGTCAAACACTCTCAAGGTTCAAAACATCCAAGAACAGAGGCGTTCAGGGGTCAGGTTAGTTACCCCGAATTCACCGAAATGCAAACGTATTCTTTAGAAAAATGAAACGTTTCAGTTACCTTCAAATAAACTTGTGAAGTTGTCGGTACGTCTTACTCAATGGGCCCTACCTGGTGCGTGGATCTGTGCTGTGGGTTAATGAACCTGTTTTGGCTGGAACATTTGTGGGTCACATTCCGTGGCCTGATTTTTGAGTGTATATAAAAGTTAGCTGTGTGTTACCTGCGATTCACTTGGCTCATCAACGGCAGGTAGCTCATATTTGTAATAGCCGCACAGGAATTTGACGTAAACTGTGCACATATTTGCAAATTATTACTGTTACAAATTGTTAGTTAATATTATCTGATATTTTTTTTTAAATATCTGACAGTGTGTGCAATTTAGTAGAAAATTTTGACGATCATAGTGGAACAGCTACAAGACAACGCAATTGAAGTCTAATTCAAAGACTTCCTTTTCTGGGGAAAAAAAAAAAAACATCTGCTGCTCATTTACAGCGAATCGTCCTCTGACTCACACCAGATATCCGCTAACTCACAACCACTTGACAGACCCTGTTTTTAGTGGATCATTTCTGAAATATTGCGGCAGTTTTCCCAAGTTAGTTGCGTTTCCTTTACAGGACGTTGCAGAACTAACCCAAGCATTTTGTTTGTTTGTTGGCGGCTTGGTTTCTTCAGGCAAATTTTACGTTCAGAAGTTTTCCATTGCAAATCCTGAACGGTCAGAGCTCGATACCACTATCCAAACCAACGCAAGAGAAATCGTCCGCAGCTAGGACCGAATCCGGCATTACGAAGCACGTTTGCAACGCCCAAGCCCTAGACGCCGAAGGTTGTCACAAGGATATTATTAAAAACAACAATCTCTGTTAACAATAAAAAGACAGTATTCAAAAATCAAGAATGAAGTTCAGAACTTGTCTAGCTGTTCTGATCGTTAACTTCGCAGTCGTGGTCTATCTATATCGATTATGGCCCTTCCAGAATCTAACGGAGGATGTTTACCAGAAGCTAGCCTTCTCCGCACTGTTGGTAGTGGCCATCCTGCTATTGTGGTCAACGCTACCCCGGCCCAGGGTCGATCCAAGAGGGAAAGCTGTTTTTATTACAGGTGAGATATTTCAGCTTTTTACAAAAATCTTTGCCGTGGATGTCAAAGTTGTTCTTCATTTTCTCTTTTTACCGCTTTAGGGGTCGTGCGAGATCTAAGGTTGTGCTTCATGCTTTTGGACCGCCTCGAACATGGATTTTGTAGAGTTTAACTTTCCATCTTGTTCTTGATATAGCTTGTGCTCTGCGTTCTTGTCTCCTTTCAGTGCCATGAGATCACAAGGCATTCTCTCCAAGTGGGCAAATTTGCTGTCTTCATTTGTAATTAAGAATTTGTTCCGTGTCGACTTTTATAACCTCATTTCTGATTTTATCTCTTCTGGTCACTTCTGCTGCACTTCTTGGACATCTTATTTCTATGGATACTAATTTAAAAAAAAAATTTGATTTGTTGCCAGTGTCCATATCTGGTGCGGCAAGTTCATCAAAAGGGTTGGGGATGAATAAGCTTTGTATGAGATGTCTGTGATGATCGGATTTCACAGGTGATTGTGTTTAATGTACGAAACAAATCAACATTGAGCATCACGTCTTTTGTACAGCGCCGCTCTCATCGCTCTGAAGGCAGCTCACTCTCTTGCTAATTCACACGATTGTTAAATGTCCATACTCAACGCATCCCTATATCCCGCGCCCACCATCATGTTAGTGGAGAACTACCATATATGCCGCCGGGCTGAAAACATAAATAAATAGAAAGGGAACCCTTGAGACCGTAGACCCTTTATATATAATTTTAAAAAATAAGACATTTTTGATCGGCACTCATTGAAAGAAGTGCAGACGCTCGCCTGCGGATCGGAAGGTTGTAGGTTCGAGTCCTGACAGAACTGGAGTTGTTTTCAAAAACGACATTGACTCCCAGGTCGACCTAGACTTGAGTGGGTACCAGGTGAAGTTCTGGGAAGTAAAGGCTGCTGACGTGGTGCTGACCACATCAGCCAAGTGCCAATTGGACTTGAAAATAGGGGTCTAACCCTATGTACCCTATAAAAGAAAAAAGGGGCGGATAACAGGCATTGACTTTTACATTTGTTTCGATGTAACCACAAGTCCAGCCTGGGTAGGATTGATGGCCATTGATTGTCCTACTTGGCAGGTTGTGACAGCGGTTTTGGCAGAGAATTGGCGGAACGGCTGGATCACATGGGATATCACGTGTTTGCCGGCTGCTTGGCTCCAGACCGCGAGGGAGCGCGAGATTTGAAGAAGTCTACCTCAGATCGGCTGAAGATTGTACCCATTGACGTCACAGATGACTTCCAGGTATCCCAGGCTGTCAGATACGTCAAGAACAACCTTGGAGATAACCGTAAGCTATTTTGTTTTTGATTTTATTTCATTTTAGCCCCCTTCCCCCTCCTTTCCCGAGTCTGTATGGTTAGCACCTCAAGGAAGAGAATCATACAGGTACAAATCCTGAAAACCCCATTTAACCGTACAGCCATATAGCACAGTTATATTCGGGCACCAGCTGAGTTAAGTTAATTTAAGAACTGTCATCACAGCACTCAGGGCATTCCCATAAGCGCGCTGTCCTCATTTTTAGCAGCTAGCGCAGAGTTCCAATATCAGTGTGTCGGTAGCACTCTGATTATACGTCCGTCTTGCCTTTCTTCTAAGCGTTATAGTATTGGCTAGATTCCCTTGTCACTCCTCGTTGTATCACTCTCACCAGACGATGGCGATCCATTTGTTCGTCTGCATTATACACGCTCTCCCACAAGGCACTAACCACGTCTATCATATCATGCATGAATATTCCACCAAGTTGTGCAGAGCCAGCCAATCTGTCCGCCTGTTCATTTCCCAACACACCGGCTTGATCCAGGAAAAAAGATCCAGACAATGCTCGTCACCCGCTGGGGCACCATACAAAGGTTAAAAAGTAATCTATAATCCAGTGTGACAGGGTGATATAACCTTTTCGTTTTCTGTGATCAGTGTAGTACTTACTGTCTATTGTTTTTCGACCACTGGTCTGCTGACCAGTACAGATGAAATGTTTAGGTAGCTGTGTCGGCCCAGTCATGTAGCGGCTACGTATTTCAGACGCTACATGGCTGCTAAGCTAATGAGGGGGTGCCCGGGACAACGTGGAAATAGAAGTAAAGACCATTTCAGTAATAAAAACCAAACAGATGACGCGAATGGAAGGCATTACAGCATTCCGTCTCTCAGAAATGATGCTTCAACCACAGATATCAGATTTTGAAAGCTCGAAGTAGCAGCTGCAGGCGGTCTCTTTGGCGAAGTGGTCAAGCCATGTGCCTCGAGCTCTGAAGGTCGTGGG